AGCGAATGAATAGCATTGCCTTAAAAAACCCCAAGTAGTGCCGATTAATACATGTCCACACACAAAGCCTACGTCGTGTTTACTTTTGTTTAAGCATCGTCTAATCCCAATTGGTTCCCGCCTAAGTCCTAGGTGATTTTGTGTTTTTACTACATTGGTGAATAGAACGATTAATGAATATCGGTGGTAAGTGGAGGTGGAGAACATTTTAGTATTTTACCAAGAATGGCTCTGTTTGAAGCTTCTACAAAAACAAAAGGTTCAAATTAGTAGATGAACATGGAATATTTTTGTCTACAATGTGCTTATCCAATTGGGTGTTTGGTAGAAAATTGCCTAAAGGTCCATTTGGATGGGGGTTTATGGAGGGTTTTAGAGAGCTTGGTGTTTGGCTGGTTATTCTCAATTACAAGAATTGATTTCTTTCATAGTTTTATTCTTTCTATGAGTTATTGATTTGTCATCTTATTTTGGGGTACTAATCTAATCAGGTGAACAAATAGTTGCATTTTAACTTTTAGGCTTTGTGCCATCAATTTTAGAACTACACACACACACACACATATATGCGGATAGGTAATAACTAAAAATAAACAATCTATCTCCACTGCATACTCTAGGATTGCCTTTAGGAGTTGTATTTAGTATGTACACCTTTAAAATACTTTCAAGTGGTTCTGTTATTTAACTCTTGTACTAATTAACACATTATAAATTACTACCTCCGTCCCAGTCTATTCGTCATGTTTGACTTTTTTTAGTCAAACTCGATGAACTTTGGATCTCAATTAAATAAAAATAGTAATGTATATTAGTATAAAAATTATTTCATTAGATTTATCTTGTTTAGAACTTCCAAAAGTTTTCTTTTATTGTATTAATATGCAATATGAATCAAGAGGAATTGATGATAAAAGTTCATTACTTATTTGACTGTGTCATTCTTATTTTTCAATTATGATCGAAGGCATGATGAGCTTCAAGGATTGGGTCTTATCTCAATTAGTGTCTAGGACACTAGCAGAACTACCCTTAACATCAGAAAGCTTTTTGTCACGGGAAATGTCTAATGAAGAGCATGAAAACCAAGGTATATTTCTCTTCTTGTCATAGCTATTAATGAAAAGCATAAATTTGAAAGTTTGCCTCTTGCAATGGTCGCAAGTTTGCCTTTCGGCACTTAAGTGGTCATATTTTTGTCCTATATCTTTGTTCATTTTAAAGTAAAATATCTTATCACTGCACGCTGAGTCAAATCCCCCAAATATGACCTTGAGTGAAATGTTAGCTGGTCTAAGCCCCTGTGTGGTTTGACCTTGAGTTCAAAGCAGCAAATTGAAATGTTAGCTGCATTTGTCAGATTAGCAACTATAGACATTAGATGAAACACTGTTGTGAATTTGGTATTCGTTTGTTGATCAAAACGTGCAGAAAAATTGTATTTATTTTTAAAAAGAAAAAAAAGAAAAGCATATTGATTGCGTGCCACATTTTCATTTTGTATATTTCTTTTTCAATTTTCAGCTACTGTGGTTACATTACCAGCATCTGCCGACACCTCATACTCGTCCTACAATAGTAATCCAGAAAGCCACAACCAGTTCTTACCTCCACATCAACTCATCATTGAAAGTTCTTCTCAGCCAACTAGCATCGACATTGACAAGAAAAATCCAATAGCTAGAATTGAAAATCTTCAAATCAAGTTTTTGCGTGTTCTTCACCGGCTCGGGTTACCACAAGACGATATCATGGTGTCAAAGGTTTTATACCGGACCCACTTGGCCACGATGATCCGCGCAAGGGAATCTGATTTAAAAAGATTCAATCTTCAAATTGGAAAAGCAAGAGAGGTAGCAGCAGAGCGGGAGGAGGCTCTCGGTCAGTCCGATTTGGGATTCTCCTTTAAAGTGCTTTTACTTGGTAATGTTTAATATAATAAAGTACTTCTTTTATTGATTTGACATTTGACTTAAATTTTCATGATAAATCTCTTATCGACTATTACAATTTACAATGCTTATATATAGACATAATGTGCCAAAACCATTGAGAATAGAAACATAAAGGGCATGTTTGGAATCCGGGAAAAAACAGGGAGCAAACTAGATGGGACATTTGGAAGGAAAGAAAAGTTTGGAAAAAAAATATGGAGTAATAAATGGTTCAAACTCAATTTTAGATATTTGTTCAATGGAATACCAAACAATTTTCAGAAAACTGTCTCAACATTTTTCTTCTTTTCCTATAGTTTTGTGTTCCAAACATTCGTGATGAGAATGGGGAAACCATAATACTACTGATAGTAAGACTGACTTTTTTAATATTGTAACAGGTAAAACCGGAGTTGGCAAGAGTTCAACAATTAATTCCATATTTGATCAAAGTAAGGCCACATCGAATGCATTTCATCCGGAGACTACTCATGTCCACGAAATTACCGAAACCGTGAAGGGCATCAAAATTTCTTTCATCGATACCCCAGGATTGTTGCCTTCCTCCCCTAGTAATGCCCGGAGGAACCGGAAGGTTTTGAACAACGTGAAGAGATACATAAGAAAGAACCCTCCTGATATGGTGTTATATTTTGAACGGCTGGATTTGATCAACACAGGAGATTATTATACTGATTTCCCTTTATTAAAACTTGTAACGGAAGTCTTTGGCACTTCTATTTGGTTCAACACCATCCTTGTGATGACCCATTCTTCCTCCCCTCTGCCCGAAGGTCCTCTTGGTCACCCGGTCACCTTCGAGTCTTACACTGCCCGCTGCACGAGTCTCATTCAACATCACATTCACCTGGCGGTCTCTGACCCGAAACTCCAAAACCCGGTGATTTTGGTGGAGAATCATCCTAACTGCAAGACCAATGATTCGGGTGAGCAGATTCTCCCCAACGGAAGCATTTGGATGGTCCAATTCTTCTTAACATGCATATGCACCAAAGTTCTCGGCGATGTTAATAATGCGTTTGACTTTGAGGATAGTATACAACTGGGCCCGCCTAAAGTCACTCGGTTGCCTTCACTTCCGCATCTGCTATCATCTTTTCTTAAGCATCGTGCTCAGCTAACACATGATGAAACACAAGGTTTAGTTGATGAAGAGGAGGATGAGTATGATGATTTGCCTCCTATTCGGATTCTGACTAAAGCTCAGTTCAAACAGTTAAGTCCTGGGGAAAAGAACGATTATCTGGATGAATTAGATTTCAGGGAAACCCTTTACTTGAAAAAACAGATGAAGGAAGCATCAAGGAGTTCTCAGGACGGGCGGGCTGAATCAACGGACCCCGTTCTGTTGCCCGATATGGATATTCCACCCAGTTTCACCTCGGATTGGCTCACACATAGGTACAGGTCCCTCACAACTACTAGCGAACAATGGGTTGCAAGGCCGGTTCTTGATCCCCATGGGTGGGACCATGACGTGAGCTTTGACGGGATCAATCTCGAGACCACCAGAAAAGTTTCAAAAAATGTTGTCGCGACTGCCAATGGACAAATGAGGAAAGACAAACAGGACTTCAGCGCTCAATCCAAGTGCACCGCCGCTTATATGGATCCGGGCAGGCCCGTTTCATCTGTTGTGGGTCTGGATATCCAGTCCGCAGGGCAAGACCCGATCTGCTCGGTACACAGCAGTGTTCAAGTCAAGAATCTGAAGCACAACATCACAGGATGTGGTGTTTCTCTGACTTCTTTTGGCGGCAACTGCTTCCTCGGCGCCAAGGTCGAAGACAGCTTCACCATCAAGAAGAGGCTGAGGTTCACCGTGAACGGCGGTCGAATGGCGGCGGCGGGTGGAGGGGCGGCAGCTCACGGCGGCAGTTTTGGAGCCACTTTAAGAGGGAAAGACTACCCGGTGAGGAATGAGAGTGCGAGTTTCACCGTGACGGTCCTCACGTTGAACAAAGAGACCGTTTTGAGCGGGAACTTGCAGGCGGACTTCAGGGTAAGCCGGGGAACGGACGTTACCGTGAGTGCTAATCTGAGCAGCCAGAAAATGGGGCAGGTTTCTATCAAGACAAGCAGCTGTGAACACATGCAGATGGCTCTCATTGCCCTTCTCTCAATTGCTGGAGGCCTATTGAGAAAAATGGTATTAAAAGACCACAAGAGCACAGAAACCCCAGAAAATGAGTCTCCTCCATAAAGTGATACAACTTGTGGTACTGAAAATACTACTTTAACCCCAGGGATGACACACCGTCAGAAACTATCACGCAGAGACAATCATTCTCACTTAGAAATGAGTCATGCTAGAGGGACCCCAAGTTACACCCCACTTTTGACTCCAATGCCTTAGACATCAAACTGACAAACATTGTTCTTTGTCTGGAATGTCTGTGAAGGCATTAGGGTCAAAAGTGGGGTGTAACTTGGGGTTCCTCAAGATTTTTTCTTGACAAATCGTTGTTGATGAAACACAGATGGTGTCATCTCCGATGTGATTGTAACATGATCCTTTGTGGTATATTAGATCCTTATTCCCTTTATGATTATAATTCCCGGTTCCCGCACTACAAGAGTGAACCACCCCACCCCACTCCGGCCAACTTTGTGGTTGTAGAGTATAATGTAAATCGTGAGATTACGCAAATGATGAAGGGGCAGTGTTAAGGCTAACTTGATGACAAGTTTTCGATTTTTCCCGTGTATTTTAATCTAAGCAGAATGAGTTTCTTTTGGTTTTTGTTTTTTTTAGGGAAAATTGAATATTATCAAACATTTCTTTGCTCATAATATCGTTATGCTTTGTCAAAAAAAAAAATAATATATGCATTGCTTTATTTCATTCTATAAATACTTTTTTTTTGTCAAATACTCTGTATTTGATTGCACGGTAAATCTTATTGTGCATCTATAGATGATGATAGTAGATTAGTACGGAGTAGTAAGTAAATGTTCACTAAACATTTACTCCGTACTAAATATTTTTATTTTTATTAGTTAAGTATACAAAATTTTTGTGAACATTTGAAGAGCACCGGCGATTGCATTATTACCTTTTTAAACTTCCTCCCTCCCAAAATAAGACAATTATTCGGTTTACGATGCTTTTTTGAATATTATTGACTCTCTTACAAAGTAATATCTGTTCATACTATTTTTAACTTAATGACGCACAAAGAGTCAATTCTTTTGTCTCCGTTGGGGCTCGAATATTGGTGAACTTCCCTATAAATCTTGGAGAGTGAACTTGGTACCACTAGCTAGGGAAGAAGTTCTGGTTTACAATGTTTGAATGAAGCTATTTTCAAATCAATATACGTAAACATTGCTATAAAATTAAAAAAATAGAAATTATTTATTAAAAAACTACATAAAAAATCATATAAAATACGCAGTGATAAAATTATTTTATTTAATCAAATGATCGATAAAAATATATAAAAAAGTAAAATCAATTTAACAGAAATTGTTTGAAAAGGAGACTTATTTCCAAAAACTCATTAAATAGCAACAGAAATTCGGTTAAATCCACCCATCGTTCCCTCCATTCCTAAATCCTCAGTAAAATTTACTCTCAGTCTGTCACTACCATATCTTAAAACAACTGATCTTATCTCTTCCAGACTCCATCTTTCAGCCCCCCCCCCCATCGGATCTCGCCATTTCAGGTATGCACTCATTCATCCCCGCGCTCTCTCCGTCTGCCTCCATTTTCGCTCATCTTGTTCTGTCTCGGATTTCAAGCTCATATATGGTTAGATGATATTCACGCGATTCACCGGCGTGTTTTGATCTGTGTTGTGTTCATTTCATTTCAGTTCTGCTTCGTGATTTGTGGCCTTTTTTAGTAATCGGTGGTTAATTATTTGTTATGCTTCGTATCTGGACTGTTGGCTTGAATGAGCTAGAATCATGTGCAATTTGTGAATCACAAGCGTCTGATTGAGTAATCTCTTTGGTTTTATTTAACTGCAGTGATTTCAAGCAAGATGTGACTTCATCTGATTGTTACTGTTAATGAATCTAAGATGCATTTATTGGAAGTTTTATGGGATTATGTATTGGTTTAGGTAGCCTATCCTAGTGATTTGGGAGTTCGGTTTGGCTGTTTTTGTTGTTGTTGGCTTGTTGTTGATGATGGGGTGATTGTTTCGCAGAAGAGCACACTTTGGATGAACATAACTGCATTTTTGCATGACAAGTTTTGGTTATGAAGTTTGATTATCATTTATAACTGTTAAAGAGTATCCACATCGGAACTTGAAGATGAAACAAATCGGTTTATAAGCTCTTGAGTTGAATCAAGTAATCGATTGGATTCAATCTTTTAATGTGGTTCAACCCAAGTGTCTTCCAGTGATCCCTACCCCAATCCTAACTTCTATCAATAATTATCGATTAATGAATTATTCAGTATGTACTTGACTACAATGTCGGCTTTGTACTTTTTGTAAATACTAATTTGGGAATACTATGCAATCAATCATCATTTTCTTAAGAATGAGTGAACTATTTCATAAAATATGTTAATGGTATACCCGTAATATTTGTTCGTAATCTGAATATTTATTCTCTATTCAACCATCACAGCATAACCTACATGATATTGTAATATTTTTTGGTTGGTAATGTTTAATGGAAGGATTCTACTAGTTAGTTAACAAATTGTTCTTCTTCATGGCTGCAGTGTGTTTTCCTATGCATATTTGAAGTTGATTAATCGATAGACTGGGGCTTGGAAGTTATAGAGGCAGAATGTTTCTTCACCTCTTGCTCTTATTGCCTCTTTTTTCGAGGTTCATAGAAAACGGAAGTTCCACTGTTACAAGCACATATATTCGCTCTGAGTGGCCATCTGTGGATATTCCACTTGACAATAAGGAATTTGCAGTCCCTGAAGGTTATAATGCACCACAACAAGTAAGTTTGCGATTGCTTGTTGTGTCTCTTCTGCAATTTGACCAAACCCTGGACAATGTTTATGTATGTGTATATGATATGAGTGGAATAAAGTGGCCTCGATGAGAGATTGCTCTGCACTTTGTAGGAATTGAAGTTGCGGAAAAGAACATTGCTAAAGTTTTTACTTTATAAGTGTTGAACACAGTTAGGAAAAGAACTTTGCGGATAGTTTTCTAGTTTATTTTGGAGCAAAATATTTTCTCCAGTATTTCATACTAGTTTCAGTTTTTTTTGCATTTAGCCAATACACACACACACACACTGTTGTACGGAGACGGGGGCAGGTACTCAAATGGGACATGGATTGACACACGCAAACCAATTTATCTAAATGTTAAAAAAGATTTGGAAATTGGGACATCCCTGAGTATCCAAGCGAGAGTATTTCGTGGACGAGAAAGTACACTTTATGAATCTGTGCAGCATAGTACACCCTAGGGTTTTGTAAAATTTTAAAGTCCAACTCTAGTTTGTGTTGAATTTAAATAAGATAAGGAACGATTTACTAGCTTATGTGGCATTTTGTGCTTTATTTTATTACAATCATTTAACATCTCTTGGTTTAACACAAGTATGGATGGGCATTGTGTAGATCCATCCCTGATTGTTGTGCTTAATGTTTCATAAAATTTAAAAGTTCTTTGGAACTCTTGATTGCTTAAGACAGATCTGCTGAACCCTCTATATTTCACTCGTAGTCAATCTATTGCAGATTAATTGCTTTAGGGAGCTACCTTGAAAATGTGATGTTTCAAAATTGTAGTTGTATTTCAAATAAAAACAAATAATTAACTCTTTATTGTTTTTGTAAGATTCTCAATACTCGAATTTTTCTGTTGTAGGTTCATATTACACAGGGTGACTATGATGGGAAGGCTGTCATAATCTCCTGGGTGACTTTTGATGAACCAGGGTCAAGCCAAGTACACTACGGATTATCTGAGGAGAAATATGATTTTACCGCAGAGGGAACATTTACAAACTACACATTTTACACTTACAAGTCTGGCTTTATACATCAATGCCTTGTCGGTGACCTCGAGGTAATCGAGCAATCAGTGTTACAAATTACAATTGAAAAGTGTCTAAATAATTTACAGCTGGATGGATCACCAGGAATTCTCCTTATATAAACGGTTAATACAATACTACTTTGATGTGATTTGCAGACATGTACTCCAATCTACTGCAGTTTTTCTTTATTTGTTTACATTATTTGGTTGAGTAGAAGTGTCATGCATTGTTTAATATTTTTTAAAATTCTTATCTATGTGTTAACAGTAGCATGACATTTATGTTTTTATACTTATTTGTGATAACGCAAGCAGGCATTGTGTTATCATTTGTTTCATTTGTGAAATTTTGTGCCGATTTATTTATTCAACACATCGAACCTCATGTTGATATCATACTAATTTAAAGGTAATGGAGACAGATTGGCTTTGTTAAGTATTTTAGGAGCATGTTTTTACTAAATATTAACTCATGCTTAGTCATGTCAGCATGATTGCTCTTATTGTGCTGCCCTTTTCTACCAATTTGTTTATTAAACTTTCTCTTTTCACTCATGACTGACGAAATACTTTTTTTTGTTCAAGTATGACAGAAAGTACTACTATGAGGTAGGACAAGGTGATTCTTCAAGGAAGTTCTGGTTTGTGGCACCTCCAAAAATTGATCCAGATGCATCTTACAAATTTGGTATTATAGGTCAGTTTTACTTGGCAGAAATTTTTATGTTATAATTTTCATTTTGTTTCAATCAAGTCCCTAATTTTGTGGGATTCTACTGGGTTGTTGCTGTTGTGTTTCAATCAAGTGGGAGAGGAAGAGGTGTACCTCAGGTGGTCCGCCACGTATTCGATGGAACAACTTGGATAAAGAGAAGATCTAGAGTTGGTTGCTAAGGTTCGAGAGCAGGGTGCTTGAGTGACTAGTGGGGAAGCCGATGCCGTTGTTGCCATGTGGTCTAAGACAGATAACTGCATCTGAGAAGCTTCTCAGGAAGTGTTGGGCGTTGTCAAGGGCAGGACTAGTGGTGGAATGGTGATGTTCAAAAGAAAATTGAAGCCAAGAAAGCGGCCTATAAAAGGCTCATGGGGAGTAGTGTAAGGAGGAGAGGAGGTCGATCCAAGTGGAGTATATGATTGCCCGAGAGGAAGCTAAGTTAGTGGTTTTGGCGACAAAGAATGCAGGTTTTGAACGTCCCTATAAGGACCTATAAAAGAGCAGAATAGAAGAGAATGTTTTTGCTTGCCAAGGCACGAGATAGGAAAGCATGCAATCTGGACCAGGTGAGGTGCATTAAAGGTGAAGATGGCATGGTTTTGGTAGATGCAGTAGAGGAAAGGAACTGATGGAAGTCTTACATTCATAGCATAGTGAATGTTGGCGGGGCTGGGAATCCAAAGGTTTCAAAGTGAGTAGGACTAAAACCGAGTACGTGAAATGTTGCTTTAGTGGTTTGATGATTGTGTCAGAAGTGGAAGTGAAGATTGAAACACATCCAGTATCTAAAAGGGACAAGTTCTGGTACTTAGATCCATCATCATTCAAGCTAGTGGGGAGATAGATGGGAATGCTTTTGATGATATTGGAACCGCTTGGATGCAGTGGAAGCTTGCTTCAGGTGTCCTATGCTACATGAGGATATCAAGAGACCTATGCTTTTACTAGGTAGTGGCCCAACTGGCTATGTTGTATGGAGCTGCGTGTTGGACGGTGAAGAACACTCACGTTTAGAAGCTCCGAGTGGCAGAGATGAGGATAATGAGATGGGTGTATGATTATATAAGGATGGATAGGGTCTGGTACGATGTTATTCGAGGGAGGGTAGGAGTAGTCTCTGTGGAGGATAAGATGCATGAAGCAAGAGTAAGATGGCTGGGCACGTATCGGAGGAGGAGTACGGATGCTCTAGTACGGAGGTGCTAGAGGCTTGAGGTAGGGGATGTAAGGACGGGTAGAGGTCGAACTATGAAGAGTTGGAAAGAGGCGATTAGACATGACATACGACTTCAGGATCTTATCAAGGATATGACCTTTGATAGGAGCGTATGGAGATCTAGGATTAGGGTGGGTAAGCTTTTGGGTAGGGCTCTACCCTTGTGTAGGACTAGTTGTCTTAGTTTGTTGCTTGTGCATGTCTGTTTGCTCCTTTTGTGCAACTTCCCTTTGCCATTACTTTTTCCTTTACATGTTTTTTAGTGTTCTTTTAGTTTTCTTCAACTAGCTCCCCTTTATCCACTAACCTCTGCTATTTTTTAGGTGATTTGGGCCAAACGTTCAATTCTCTTTCCACTCTTGAACATTATATGCAGAGTGGAGGGCAAACTGTCTTGTTTGTTGGTGATCTCTCTTACGCCGATAGATACCAATATCATGATGTTGGAGTGCGTTGGGATTCATGGGGCCGTTTCATTGAAAAAAGTGGTGCATATCAACCATGGATTTGGTCTGCTGGGAATCATGAGATAGAGTACATGCCATATATGGTACTATTTTGAAAATATATTCATTCAGCTGCATGAGCCTCACACTTTTGCCATTATTTTTTCCCAATTAATAACTGTGAGCAGTCCCATTAAAGATGTGACTTGGCAGTTGTTTTTTCCTTCATTTAGATGAAGGCATCACGAAACAAATTGTCTTTTATTCTTTACCAAATGAAACCTCTTCTAATAACCTTTTCTGCTGTCTTCTTTCACTTTAGAGCCCGTTCGGTAAGAGTTTTTTCACTGAAATGCATGAATGTGCTGATTTTTTAAGGATTGGTGTTTTGTAACATTTATTTCAGCTAAATACATAAAAAAAATACTACTAATTCTGCATATCATAAGAAAAATATGGTGAATAAGCCATTTTTGGTACCAAACAGAGCCTAATCTTTTGTGTCTGTGCAGCTTGATATTTGTTTTCTTGCTCTAAGTCATTCTAAGTATAATGATTTGTTAACAATGCTGCTGATACATTGAGTGGAAAAAACCTCCTTTTGAAGCATAACTACATGACAATTACTCTTTATATATTTTGAAAGTACGCTGTAATTTTGACTGCTTTCATTTCTTGCATATGATCAGGGGGAAGTAATTCCTTTCAGATCATTTCTCTTTAGATACCCCACACCCTACAGAGCCTCCAAAAGTAGCAATCCCCTTTGGTATGCCATCAGGCGGGCATCTGCTCATATAATTGTTCTATCTAGCTACTCCCCATTTGGTAAGTTACTCCTATCGCATTGATTCATTTCAAAGCACTTTAAAACCATGAATGCATCAACAAGTAATTGTCTTCAAGCTCATCAATACAGTCATATGATTGTATTTTGGAAGCTATTCCAGATATTTTGGGGTCAAACTGACAGAATAAAGAAAAACCTTTGTTAGACTTCTTTTCAGTTTTCTCCATATTTACCTCTTCTCTGCTGCAGAAATTGTTATTGTTTCCATCATATTCGTATTGAAAGCATGTACTGCATAGTTATTAAATATGTACTCTCTCTTGTATCACCATTTTCAGTAAAATATACACCTCAGTATAAGTGGCTTAATGAAGAATTTACAAGGGTGGACAGGGAAAAAACTCCTTGGCTAATTGTCCTCATGCACGTACCTATCTACAATAGCAATGAAGCGCACTTTATGGAGGGTGAAAGTATGAGAGCTGTCTATGAGGAGTGGTTTGTCAAGTACAAAGTTGATGTGGTATTTGCTGGTCACGTCCATGCTTATGAGCGATCCGTATGTTCTTAAATCTCCATACATCATTTTTTTATATGTTAGGAAGGGAAAAGATGATGAGGAAATTAAAATTCTCAAAATTTTCAATATATATTCACATTTCTGAGTCTTTGTATAACACAATATATGATTGAAATGATTTTGAACTAGTCATTATATTTACATTTCTTAACTCATCATCCTTTATATTTTATGTTAGAAAATGTGTGGGTAAAACATTAATTTTAATAATTAAATAATCATCCCTCCCTTCCCGTCTGCATTAGGGTCCTATCTTTCATATTAACTTTGATCCAACTAGGTTTTAATTGAATCTCTTATGCCTTTTCATGGTATATATTCAGTATCGAATATCAAACATCCACTATAATGTATCAAGTGGCGATGCTTATCCTGTACCAGACAAATCAGCTCCGGTTTATATTACAGTTGGAGATGGAGGGAACCAGGAAGGTCTAGCTGGAAGGTAATTAGGAAGACTAATAATACTACAAAAAGAAATATTTTATATTTCTCTCACCTGTCAGACCCTATTGTAGTGGGATTCAACTGGGTTGTTGTTGTTGTTGTTCTCTCACCTGTCATTAGCGGTTAACTATACTATCTAATGCAGATTTAAAGATCCCCAACCTGAGTATTCTGCGTTTAGGGAGTCCAGTTATGGCCATTCTACTTTGGAGATAAAGAATAGAACACATGCGTTGTACCATTGGAACAGGAATGATGATGGGAAAAGTGTTGCAACAGATGCTTTTGTGTTGCACAACCAGTTCTGGTATGTAGTTGTTTGGACTTTCGATTTTTGATTGCCAATTTTCCTCCACCCTCCCCACACACCCCCACCCCCCTCCCCCCACACCCCCACACACGTACATGTATTGACTTCATAGACGGGTGGTATTTTAACCATCACCAGCAACCCAGTTTCTGAGCCGAATGGTGGTGATCAAAAGCTAAGGGCGTGTTTGGTGAGCGCATGAAATATGAATTCAGATATCGGAAAGCCCTTCTAGGTGTTTGATGAAGCCACCAACAACCACCCACCACCACTACCATCATCGGCAGCCACTAACAACCAACATTTCAGATCCTTCAAAAACTTTCATTTCAGATTTCAAAACTCATATAGTTTGCTCCGCTCACCAAGTGGGTTTTAACTCCCAAGTGTATTCTACCAAGTACCATCACTCTTATCCCAATTATATATGGAGATTGGTGGCCTAAAACTAAGCGTCAATAGTTGTCTAAAATTAACCGACGGCACTGGTTATGTAGAAAAACGAACATTATGTCGTTTTTAAAGACTTTCTAAAAGTGCATATTATGTTGCGTGCAGGGGGAGCAACCGAAGAAGACGAAGAAAGCTCAACAAATCTCATCTTCACTCTGTTGTTTTTCGCCGGCCCTCTAGCGAACAAATGTGAGAAAAATCAGCTAAGAATCCTCACCTCTTCCTCCTCCTGTATTGGTATCATAACGTAAATAAGAATTTTCTATGGGATCATTGTCGCATAAACAAGAATTTGTGCTTCCTTTTTACTAAAAAGTTTACAAGTGTTAAAATATTTTTTATACAATTTATTGACACTGTAAATTTCATTTCGGAGATCCCAACATAGGTTGGGTTTTAAGGTGTTGATGATATAATGATCTCTTTCCGGTCGGATTCCTTTTTTTTTTCTCATGACAAAATATACTCCGTACTTATTAAAATTAATTAAAACATGTTACTGGTACATTTCATGAAGGAATACATATGTTAAATTTCATCATGTGGATAATTGTAGTAGTGAAGGGTAAAAATGTACTCCGCAGGAAACAAAATGTGACACGAGTGAGATATTGTTGGGCCTTGTTAATACCTAAAATTAATACATCAATAGTGTCTTCGTTTGGGGAAGAAATATTTTGTCACAAAATTGTTTTCTAGGAAAAAATGATTTTGAAAGAAAATTATTTTCTGATCTTTTTTTTCCAAAAAATCATTTTCCATTGTTGATACTCCGTATTTACAAATGCTTTAGGGGAGCGGGGGAGTGGTGGCAAGGGGTGGTGGACAGGGGGCGGGGTTTGAGGGATGGGGGGCCTCCTGGGCGGAGACTGAAGAAAGCAATTTTTTTTTCCGAATCAAACGAAAATCATTCACTTTGTTGAGAGTATTTTTCTAACCATGTATGGTACCACACGTAGAAAATTGAAGTAGAATTTTTTTGAATGACATCTCAGTTCATTGCGACATCAAATGTGGAGATGGCACGTGAGTTATGACAATAATGGTGTTATAATTTTCTTTTGATCTTAGAAAAAAACGACGTCACGAGAAATGACTCGAGCATCTATAATGACCCCTGATAACATTCTCCCCTAGCAATATACTTTCTGCCAGACCATATACTGCTAGAGAAGGGAGAGAGCATGGGTGGGGGTTGGAATCGGGATTAGAAAAGAGAATTAGAAATCATCAATTTTAGCAATGGAACACTCTAGGTGTCCATGTCTTTCTTAGGTCATTTTTTACAAGGTTAAAAGAATCGTGACATTACAATTTTCATATTGTATTTATTCATTCTTTTGAAAGCCGCGTCAACACTCGGGATAATCAGGCTCGAACTGATGACTTCCGCCACGTCAAGGTGGTACTTTACCGCTGAGTTATATCCCCACCATTTTATGAATTTCATAGTACATTGAAATACATATATATCTAGTACCAATAGTTCATCACGAACAAATACGAATCTAATTCATAATACTACAACTTTTTTTTGAATTATTTTCCTGTTCTAAATATCCCTTCAACATAGGTCATCGAAAAGATCTCAGAGACCCACCAAAGTATGAAAGCCAAGCTATTTCATAAAATAGATTCCTGTTCAAAGAGTGCATAACCGTATGGATAAACTCACACTAACCTGTCAATTTGGGATAAAAATTTTAGATTTTCCTGGGAAAGTATCGAGAAGGAATTAGAATGGAAGAATATCGATTAGTACTTTCATATCAATCTGCTTTTGAAAGGTCAAATTCTACAAGATTAAACCTGGGGTTTGATTACATTGACATATGAAATATTTGAGAACCAGAAAGAAATGGACAGTAAACGTGAGTACGTGACTCAATTGGTCCTAGTTACTCTTCGGGGCGAAGGAAAGGCATCCGAAGAATTGAATGAGGAGCAATATGAGGTGAAAATCTCATGTACGATTCTGTAGAGTGGCAATAAGGGTGACTTATCTATCAACTTTTTCACATTCCAATTCCATAATTTGAATTCCATGTATCAAACGGAGTCTAAATATCAAATGAAACCCAAAGAAACCACATGCACCCTTGTAATTTGTAAATAGTTGAAAATTGAAACATTTAACGAGGAAAAACAACTCAAAACTTTGCAGGTAGCCTTTTCTGTGGTTTGGATACATGCATTGGTGACAAGTTAAAAGAGAAAATTTTATCTTCTACAAAAGACTATGAGCTAGGGGTAAAAACAGAACACCATAAAATGATTCTCAAAAAAAACATTGCTTCCCGTTGACAGCAACCACCTTCATCCCAAAATGTTCGTCTTCTTTGACTTGTTTGAGTCAAACCAGATAACTTTTGATCATCAATTGAATAAAAATTAGACTACATATTAGATTGCATATTCCGTTAAAAAAAGATTTCATATTAGTACAAGATCTCATTATATTTATCTTGCAAAATCTATCAAAAAGTTCTTCATTGTAGTAATATACAATGCAACGGTTTTGTAATTGATGATTCAAGTTTTCCAAATTTGTCTCGAAAGAATCAAACTAGACGAATATATTGAAACGAAGAGAGTATTAAATTGGCTCGTATTTGAAGGGTGATGATAGAGGGAAACTTACTATATATATGTGTGTGGAACTTTCAATGTCGGCCACGACCACGGCCACGCCCCCCGCCTCGTCCTCTCCCTCCTCTGCCCATCCCGAATCTGCCCCCTCCTCTGCCACGGCCTCTGAACCCAGAGGCCGGACCGCTATTCTTCAGTTTCAATGACTGGATCCCTCTTCTCTTCGCGGGCTGTGCATCATCATCATCATCATCCTGGTACTTTCTTGAGGTTTTTTTGGCTGTGAAAGATATTTCCCGCGATCCCCCGGGTCCCACCTTCACATCAATGCCTTCCCGATTGTTTTTAGCATTCAGTGCCGCCACCCGTTCTCCCAACGGTAGGGCGTCCTCCTCCGCAAGAGATTTACTGTTCCAGAATGCCTCCGCATGTCTCTCATCCTTCACAGCATACAGTCTAGATTCTCAAAAAGAAGGGGAATTTCAGTTAGTAAATTCAATTTTCGGGGGACATCCATAAAATTGTACACTACTCAAGAATAACCAAAAACAACATATACTCCTTCCGTCCCCCAAAAAAAACAGACTCCCAAGTTGACTTGGCACTTTCCAAGTGGGTGGGGTAAATGAGTAGTGGGTATCTAGTGGGTAATAAAGTGAAGGGCATAAAAGAGAAAGCAACACAAAAACACTTTAATAGAAATAGAAAACTTTTATAAGGACAAACCAAAAAAGGAAACAAGGAGCCTTTTGTTTTGAAACGGATAAACATTTGAAAATAGGCATTCCTAAGCAAAAGCAACACTTTTGATTATTTACTGTAGGTGTTTCATGCAATGCAAAAATAAAAATAAAAATCTCACCTTGGAACTTTCTTTCTATTCTCGTGGTCATCATCAGAAGATGAAGCAGCTGCATGTTCATCAGAGTCACTTGGCTCCTCCTCACCTTCCATAACAGGCATGAAATGTTCCTCCAACAAAGAAGCTTGCTTTGCAGATGCAACAGGGTGCAATGCTCGGTACTCTTGAGATTGTTCATCAATTTCAAAATCCTGTTTGGAAAAATTAGATGTAAAGTTTTGATCCGGAAGATAATACACGATATACTCCCTACGTCCCGTAAAAACTTCTTTGTTTGACTTTCAAATAGTTTAAGAAAAGTGTTGAAAAGTGAAAAGTTAATGATTAGAATCTGTTTCAAAGACAGAGAAGTGTTGTGAGCCATTCATTCCTTTCTTTGAAAGGAAGTGGATAAAGTGTGAAGCTTCTTTTGGGACGGACAAGAAAGGAAATAGTATGGAGTACCTTATTTTGATTTTCAAATACGTAGTACAAAATAAGTAAAAGATTCTTGTTTATCCCTCTAATATTTCAGTTTTCTTTTCAATTGCAACTTGGAGAATGATATAGTACCTTATTTTCAAACATAGCTGAAAACCGTGGATCTTCAAAGATTTCACTGCTGGTTGGTCCCTTCTTCTTCTTTGATGATTTTTTGGCATCTGTGCCATCAACATCCTTTGCTTTTTCAGCTTCTTCATTTTCAAGAAGTTGAGACGCAAATGCCTTATTAACTTTGGGGAGTTTCCTCTTGATCTGCACAGATAAGGAAATTTATAATTTATGATTGCACAAAAACCAAATATTTTGAAATCAATATAAAGAACGAAAGGATTTAAGCCGAATATTTTGAATTCCAGACTTTCAGTTAATATTTCAAGAGGGGGAAACGTTACAAAGAAAATTGACAAGCAACAACAACGGCCCACTATAATCTCAACTCTGTTGGGGTCTAGGGGGTTAAGATGCCTGTAAAAACAGAGAGGCTATTTCCATTAGGCCCCTAGGTGCATTTCTGCATTTAGGACCTGAAGCTTCATTAGAAAAGAAGCAAGGGAATATTAATGTGTCATTTTGATTCAGTCCATTATGTGCTCAAAACTAAAGCACTGTCAATAATGACTCTTTTAGCTCCATTGGCAATGCAAGCAAAAGAGACAAGCAAAAGAAAATGAATTAGATAATTCTCAATGTTTCATTGCCCATACTTCACTACATATTCGCATTTATATGCTAAAGGAAAAGAAATAGAGTATAGTACTAACCGTAATACGGGATTGAAGAACTTTATCTAGTTTTTCCTGTTTCCTTTGCTCCATATAATCATCATACATAAATGGATCTGCAAGAGATTTTGCCTGCACATATAGCCATACACAACCATTTAATTAAACCTCTTCCATAAATTTCTCATCATCTATGAGTTGAGATTCATAACATTCTGATGAACATTAAATAATCAAAATCATATATTTAGATACGGCTACTAGCAGCAGAACCTTTATAATAATAAAACTCAGAATTGCATGAGATGGTCAGTTCAAAACTCTAAGCTAAATAGGTACAAGTAGGGGGCGTAACTTATATTTACCTTTGTATACAGACGGTAATCAATAAAATATCCATGCATATAGGCTCTTAAGAGGTTTGTTCCTATCAGATGAGTCAAATTTAACCTATCAAGATCTTCTTTTGTCAAAAATTTGAAATCGTCATAAATAGTTGTTTGTGCACCCTCTTCCATCTCTTCCTGTGAATAGAAATACCCGAAGTGCACCAACATGGTTAATAGTAAGAAAATGAATCGAGAAGCATATTCTGTGAATATTAAGTTTGGAAGCTCAATTATATACCGTTAAATTTTCTAAGTAAGAACACCATTTAGGAGCAGGTCCTAGTGCAGGTATGAAATAAGAAGGTACTTGACTGGAGTCTAGTGCTACCAGTATTAGCCCAGTGCCACTAAATACACATATATCATTTATTCTGCTGCCTGTTGGTTCAATGCTTGTCATGCCTTCTCCCTGTGAATGTCAAAATGAGCATATCTCTGTTTAATATAAAATCAATTATACAAAGTAAATTGAAACACCTTGAGCACTCAAATATGGAAAAAGAACAATTGTTTATGGTTGTTGATTGAACACAAAAATTTTCAAATAAAAAAAACTAAAGCATTAAAATGTTTGGTTTAGCATTTTGTTTGTGAAGTGGTGAATGGGTGGAAGAATGTGAGACTAGAAGGATGGTAGAGCAAAATGCCTGGAGATCTGATTCCGATCTTAAGAAAGACCAGAGAAGATTCAGTGCAACAACCAAGAAATTAATTAAGCAGCCAATCAAGAAGCTATTCGGCCCAATATTACTATATTAAGGATTACTATTAGCATCTTTAATTTATAAGTAATTTATTTATTACCTTATTTATATGATGTTTTAGACTATCAGTCAATTCCCTTCTAGAGAAGAGGGCAAACTTTAGTTTAGGGAAAATGCTATTAGCTTTGCCAAGTGGGAAAGACTTGCCGGACAGAACCTTCAAGTCTCTCAGGAGCTTATCTTAAAGCTCTTTTAGCTTCCATTGTTTATCTTTTTCTATTCAAAAAAAATCTGTTCATTTTAGTGTTCTTGAATAGGATTAATAGAGGGGGAGTAGTGGTTACAATACACTGTACACTGAAGGGAAGTGATGTGCATCTGAGGAGGTGTCTGGTCACTCTGGTGTGGGTGGGTCAGAATGAAAAAATGGCTAATGAAGTTAATCGAAAAAAGGTGAGATGTTTCTGGGTCGATAATTGCAGATGGGTTCAAAGTAAAGTCAGTGTGGGGATCGTCATAAGTGGTAGATTTTGGTTGTCGGTATTGATCATAGTGTTAATTATCTAGGTGTAGTAGCACAAAAGGTGAGATACTTCTAGGTTGATCCCATGGTTAAATTTGCGAACTCTTGCTGCTAAACCGAGCCTAACTGTTATACCCCTGGATGGCTCCACAAAAATCCCAAACCCTCCCAAATATCCAAAAGTATTTTATTTCCTTTTGATATCCAAAATAAAGTTCTTCCTACTCTTATTTTAGCCCAGGGCCGAAAATAAGAGTGTGTAAAATAAAACCTTTTGTTTGTTATTATTTTCCTTTTTTTAAGCCTTTTATTAAGCCAATAAAACCCTCCCTTTATTCCATTCACCCCTGGCCAAAATACACTTCACAATCCCAACATAAACACCCACAAAGAGCCAAAACCCTGACCCACCACTTACCACTCATTCCTGCCCATGTTCCCTCACAAATAACCCAAACCTATAAGTCCAAAACCACCCATATATTCCCCATCCCTGCCCCCCTTTAATGACCAAAAACAACCCTCCATTCTTACCCAAATAATACCCACAAAACCCAGGAAAACAACCACTACAAACCTAAAACCCAAAACCCCACAACCCCCAGCCCCATCCCTGATTTTATCCCACTAAGGAGATAGGTTTGAATGGAGAATGCCCCATGCTTTGAGAGAGGATGTTGCTAGGAAGCTTCCTCATTTTCACATTCATTGCATTGTGTATTATTTCCCCCTTCCCCCTGCCTATATAAATCAGGCCCTATGGCCAAATGTAACACATCTTTTGAATATTGAAAATCTTTTAC